CCCCAAAACCCCAAAACCCCAAAACCCCTTTTATAAATGATTATTGTTTTCTTCATACATTTAATAAGTCACAAATTTATTAGTGTGAAAACCTTTTTGGTAGTCATAGTAGAATTTTCTCAGAAATCCCTTGTCACTTGCTCCACCCATTAATATAATAATAATAAAGCACATGATACCTCAAAACTTTAACCCTTACACATTCCTCTTCCTTACCTTCTCACTCTACCCTCATCTTCCCCTAAATCCCTCTTCTAGAAGCTCATTCCTTCCCAGAATCCTTTACTCCACATTCCTCATCCGAGCTACTTCTTGGCCAAGCCAGGCTCCTAAATCTTGCTAACTCGATCAGGCAGAAGAAGGCTCTTGGAATTAAGAAGGTCTAGGCTAGAAGGGAAATGGGGCAAAGGGACAAGCAAGGAAAGCAAAGTTGGTATTGTAGTTCAGAAACCCGCTTCTAGAGTTTGAATTTGAAAAATTTTGGAAAATTAATTTTTACCCAAATGAGTGTTCATTAGCTTTGAAATGATCTCTTGGATGTATTTATCAGGGTTGAAAGAATTCTGTGAAGGTGCATTTTTTACAGTTGAATAGATGAGGATCTTAAACTGTTGTGATCACCAATTCTTATGTGCTAGTAAGAACAGAATACCTCTCCTACCATATTCTTTTCTGTCATTAAATATGGAGATAAAGATCTATATTAATTGGATTATTTGTAATTTTTCTACCAAAGCTATTCAATTAGACTGCTTTATTTCATGTTAAATTAATTTTCTCTCAGTTTTAATGAAGGAAATAACACCAAAAGATCATATGTTCCACAAAAGTTGGTAATTTTTACAAATGCAATAATGCCCAAAAAGCCTAATCAAGAAAGCTTCTTCTGTGGCACTAATTTACCCTACTCTCCTCTAAAACTTCCTTTTTCGATCAATTTTGTTCAACCAGCTTGCTCAAAGCCGGGGTTTTGGGGTTTTGGGGTTTTGGGGTTTTGGGG